GACCTCAAGTCACGACACGGGTCTTAAACCCTCACCCTAAAGCAAGTTTGCTTTGTGCTCTGAGCTCAAGGCTCCCGGGTGCCCCCCAATTTGCAGCATCCCTGCGAGGTCCAAAGGACCGGCTCCAAGGAGCATCCCAGTGTGGGGTCACCCCCCCGGGTCCCTGTGTCCCCAGCGTGGGGCTGCAGCTTGGGCTGGCTGGGACGGTGTCCTGCTTGTCAGGCAGCTTTGCAGACGAGGGGTCCGGGCGCTGCAGGTCCCGACATGCGGGGCCGTGCAGGGCCGGGGGTCCCGGTTGGACCGGAGCAGCAGGTGGGGATGCACCGGGCAGCCTGATGCTGCTCCGCACAGGCACTGCTGGTTTTTCACTTAGCAGCAGAGAGTAACCCCAAAACTGCAGCGGATTCAGCCAGATGAGCAGAGGCAGCGCAGGGGATTTTTCAGCAGCTTTATTTGTGTGTGCCCCAATACCTGGGAGCTGGGTGCAGCCTTACCTGGGCGCTTCTAAATCACTGCCGTGTGGGCAGGTGAGTGAGGACAGGACCACGTCCCTCCGACCAACATCCCCAGGGCTGTCACATCGCTCCAACAGCGTAATTCCCCTCTAGCAAAGAGTGCAGAGATTTTTAGGGCTTGGCCTCTTGACTTTTGCACACCACATCTCACCCAGCAAGATGCTGTCTCCAGAGAAATCACGCTATAGCATCGCTATAGGAGAGGAGCAAGAGGCCGTTGGCCCAGGGAGCATCGTTTTGGGCTCACGGCCGCGCTGGGTACCCAAAGACGCGTGTCTTCACCCAGCCTGGGAGTCCTGGTGCATCAAGGGGATCTTCTGCCGGTCGCTTCTCTTCTCTGCCTCTAAAGTACTTACCTTCTCCTGCAAAGGAGAGGTAGCTTCATTTAAAGACTAATTATCATTAATCTGTTGCCAAAGGAAGCTTAAAAGCATGAGCCAATTACACATGTTAACGTGCTTTGGGTAACGAGCGGCCGAAGGGTGTAATTAGAGCCTGTCTGCGGTGTGGACACCGGGCATGGGATGGTATTTCTGGCCGAGGCCGGTCCCGTCGGCCGCATCTGCCGGTGTCGGTAACGGCGGGTCCGCACGGCCAAAGCCAGGTCGGTGTGGCAGAGGAGAGGGCAGGAGCCCCACGAACGCTACCTAGAGAGAGTCACCAAAGGGTAGAGGAAAAAAACCCAACAAATTCCATTTTTTGTGGTAAAACGAGCAAAACTTGGCAGCTGTGGTACCAGCTCTGTAGGTGGGTTTGTTACACCAGAGCAATACTTTGCATCACTATTTCAGCGTGATAATGATGGGGGGTTGATGCCTTTGTAGGTCGCGGCAGCCCCAGGTCAGACAGACGGGCAGTGCCCGGACCGATGCTCTCTGCCAGGGAGGCATCCCTGCACCACCCGCCCCGGTGCCCATCGTCAGGCGGTCACACTTGGGGCTCTGGGTGCTTTGGCCTCTCCCGGCGATGCAGGAGAAACCCCTGGGAGGCGGAGGGTGGCTCTGACCATGAGCCAGCTTGGCTTCAGGCTGCGGACGGTGCCCACCAGCCTCCGTCTGTCTCCCACGGACCTTCCCTTCTCACACCCAGGCTAACAAAGTCCTGGGCTCGTCTATCGCAGGGGTAAACTTTGGCTTTTTCTCGCCAGCCCGGACACACACAGGAGCTGCTGCTAGAGATGAAAATTGTCCTGCTAGAAGTCGAGGGAAGAGTTAAGCTCGGTCAGCATGACTGTGATTTTCAGTGCAAGTTCCTCTTCCCATTTCAGGAATCAGAGGGGAAAAAAAGTTGCACCATTTAGTAAAACCCCAGTTGAGCATCAGCACTGGGGCTCAGCCCTTTGGGGTGGTGGGTGCGTGAAGATGTGGGCACCCCAGCCCCTGTCCGCCCCATCACCCCAAGCCGGTTTCTAGCATTGCCCTTTCCTTGGTCTCCCTTCCAGATGTCCTTCCACTTCTCGGACACGGCAGTGCTGCTCTTTGACTTCTGGAGCATCCACACTCCGGCAGGTACGCTGCCAGCCCCAGCCCAACCCTGAGACACCCGTCCGTCTGTCCGTCCATCCACCACCAGCTGTGCTTTCCACCTGGGAAAAGGATGCGGGGCCGAGAAGCCAACAGGAGCTTTGCGTTTTGGGCAGGAGCAGTGTTAGCGATGGGCTGGGAGGGGGCAGAGCAGGGCCCCCACCCCGCATTAACCCTGGGGCATGTTCTGCCTGGGGGGTCGGGGCAGAGCTGTGATGGGCTCCACGCACCTCTCGCCCCAGCGCTCGGAGGGCACTGTCTGGTTTTGGCTGACCCTCTCCTACCCTGGTGAGCAGTGCTGTGCCCTGGGAATGCCCCGGGCAGGGGTCGACCCTCCCAAGCCGAGAGCAGCAGGCAGGGAGGTGAGGGAAGCATCACCCCGGGCTCAGGCCTGCCAGTACCCCCCAGGTCACTCAGCGATAGCTCAACTTCCCATTTTCTTTTACACTTTTTTTTTTTTTAAAGTTATTCTTCCAGCATCATATTTTAACCCCTGCATTTTTGTAGAGTCGATGCAAAGATGCTCAGTTTTTTTCCAGGCAACCCTATCCAAAAAAATACTCCCTAGGAATTTAGACTTGGGGGGGCTTGGGCTAAACACACCATTCCCCAACGCTTCGCAAACCCGCTGCATCTCGCTCCAGCCCAACCCGAACCCCAGGACCCCTCCGACCCCTCCACCTTATCCCCCGAGCGCTGTCTTTCTCCCGCAGGGATGGCCCTCTCCGTGCTGGTGGTCCTGCTGCTGTCGATGCTTTATGAAACCATCAAGGTGGGCAAAGCCGTGCTGCTGCGACGGGCGCTGCTGGCTCTGCCTCGCACCCTCAGCCGGGAGTCACTGGTGGAGCCGGAGGAGGAGGAGGAGGAGGAGGGGGGCACCAGCCCTGCGCAGGGCAGGTACCGCAGGGCCCCCCCTTTGCACCCATCCGATGGTGGGGGGTCAGGGATGGGTGTAGGGCCCTTGGACCAGCACAGGTGGGGAGAAAGGCTGTAACGAGGCAGCGGCGGAGTAATGGGCTCCTAGGAAAAGGGGTATGTGTACAGCCTTTGGAGGTGGCCCCGGGGGTATCCTGGCCCCTGCAGGTACTTTGGGAGGTGTCTGGGGTGTTTGTCAGCTCTCGTAAATGGTCACATTCGCCCCGGAGCCATCGTGGGTGCAGGAGGGTCCTTGTGGTTTGGGGATGGGCATAAGCAGCGGCTCAGGCACCCCAGCAAGGCTGGTCCGGGCGTTTCCTTCCCAGCACAAGCCATTGGAGCCAAACCCTGGGTTCTTCCTCTTGCATTTAATCCCAGACCACACCTGAGGCTGCTCTTACTGCCAACCTCTTAATAACATCCTCCCCATTCCTTTGGAGCGGGATTTCCCCCTGCACTGCTGTTTGCAGCCTCCATCCTTCTCCCCACTCCCCAAATCCATCTCTGGCCGTTCTGGGATGCTGGCGGCAGAGGGGAGAAGCCAGCTGGCCCCAGCCCCTCGCTGATGGGATATCCCATCTTCTTCCACAGATGGTTTCGATACCACCTTGGCCAGGCGCTGTTACATGTGGTGCAGGTGGCGCTGGGCTACATGGTGATGCTGGCCGTCATGTCCTACAACGCCTGGATCTTCCTCGGGGCCATCGCGGGCTCCACACTGAACTATTTTGTGATGTACCCCCTGCTCGGTCGGGGCTAGGCATCCCCCCCACCCCGGGATGGTGGGCGATGTGCTCCACGCCTCCTGCTACTTTATCTGGAATAGCTGCTGTCACTTCTGCTGGGTCTGTCCTTGTCCCCGCGCTGTGTGGGACGCAGCACCCCAGGGACCCACTGCAGGGACCCTCGGCGCTGGCCCAGCTC